TCTTCTTTTAACCCAAAGTTTTACTCTAACTTATTTTTAAACCCAACTACTTTCATTATGATCCATGCACCCAAAGTACAACACCCACTTATTTATAAACCCAAAGTATCAAATACACCATATTTATATACTGTATACAAAAAATAAAAGATAAATCCCGAAATTACCCTTGTTCTTCTTCTTCTTCCTCCCTAATAACTACCCAGGGCTCAACTCTCTCTTTCTAATTATCTCCATCTTTCTAGTTCTCCTCCCACTAAAAAAAACCCTAAAAATTCAAGGGTTTTGATCTCTTGCATTGGCGTCCAATGTCAACTTGCAGGTTTCTCTTCGCTAGATCCTTCGTTGAAGGGGACGGTGGCAGCGGCCCTAGGACACCCCAGTCCACTCAAAGCGGACCAATAGAAAACGGTATGTTAACATTTTGAAATTTTGGGTTTTTTGGCAATATCTTGTTAAAAATGTCTTCTTATTATAAATTGATGGATTCTTATCAAGCTTATGCTTCATGAAAGAGTATGTGCATAACAAATTTGCTCATATATATCTATGTTTTGGTGACTAGGTTGATGCATAGAAGGTGTTTGATGGAATGACAAAAGGGAAATAGTTATTTGGACCACAACGATTAGCGGTTATACCATATTGTTGTTGGTTGAGGAGGCAATAAAGGTGGTTGATGAAATGTCCAAGAGAAGTTTGGTTTTGTGCACCGCCATGATCTTAGCCCATCGGTATGCCATCCTACGCCCTCCGATTGCTCCTCACCATTTTCTATTATCGCCAACACCTAACGCAATGCACAACTACCCCTCAATTAGAAACGATTCGTCAATGCACGTACACTAACTTTCCAATCAAATACATGAGAGAATCCTACACTCTTGGCATTCGATCAGATCTTAGCATTGTTGTCACATTGCAACCCAACCGTCAAATCAACTACAGCCTGCAATATGATATACCAAGTAGTATCTAATGTATCGTGTTGTATGGAATTTTCTATATTATGTATATATAGATGATTTGTGTGTATATTGTATCAAATGCACTATCCAATGTATCATGCTGTATCAAATTTTCTATTAGAAATTTATCAGTGTATCTAGTAGAAATGTATACAACGTTTCGATAGTGGTGATTTTGGATTATTTCCATTCAATCTTCATGGATTATTTTCATTCAATGTTATGTGCTTGAGTTTAGTGGTTGATAGATATGAATATCTGTAATGAATTGATGCACTGATTGAACTGAAGAAGTTTTGATGGTAGGTTGTGGTAACTACAACCTATTGGTCCATATTATGTTTCGTGTGTCTAATTATCCACCTCGACAAGGGGTCCTCGTTCAATTTTCCAGCTTTCGATAAAGTATAACACTTTATGGGAAAGCATAGCAGTTTATTGATGAAGTGTAGCAACTTATGGTAAAGTATAACACCACAAGGCAATAATATAGCACCTTATCGATAAAGTATAGCACCTTATGGTCTCTGAAAATTCAGTAACATATCGCGTTGTGATAAACCAAATAAGTTTTGTTAGGGCCATGCAAACACTCGATGACCTACGTTATGTGTCGCGTGACCAATTATCCACCTCGACGAGGGGTCCTCGCTCAATTTTGAAGCTTTTAGCAAAGTATAGCACTTTATGGGAAAGTATAGCACCTTATGGCCAAAGTATAGCACTATATGGCAAAGTATAGTACTTTATTGGCAAAGTATAGCACCCTATTGGCAAAGTATAGCACAATATGCTCTCTGGAATCTCTGCACCTTAAGTTGTCTAAAACCAAATCAGTTTTTTTACTGCAACGCAAACACTCGATGACCTACGTTACGTGTTTATTGACCAATCATCCACCGTGACGGGGGGTCCTCGCTCAATTTTGAAGCTTTTGGCAAAATATAGCACTTTATAGGAAAGTATAGCACCTTATGGCCAAAGTATAACACTATATGACAAAGTATAGCATTTTATTGGCAAAGTATAGCACCTTATTGACAAAGTATAGCACCATATGATCTCTGAAAATTCTACACCTTAAGTTGTCTAAAACCAAATCAGTTTTTTTCACCGCAACGCAAACACTCGATGACCTACGTTACGTGTTTATTGACCAATCATCCACCGCTACGGGGGGTCCTCGCGTAATTTTGAAGCTTTTGGCAAAGTATAGCACTTTATGGGAAAGTATAGCATATTATGGCCGAAGTATAGCACTATATGGCAAAGTATAGCACTTTATTGGTAAAGTATAGCACCTTATTAGCAAAGTATAACACCTTATGCTCTATGGAAATTCTGCACCTTAAGTTGTCTAAAACCAAATCAATTTTTTTCACCGCAATACAAATACTCGATGATCTACGTTACGTATTTATTGACCAATCATCCACCGCGATGGGGGTCCTCGCGTAATTTTGAAGCTTTTTGCAAAGTATAACACTTTATGGGAAAGTATAGCACCTTATGGCCAAAGTATAGCACTATATGGAAAAGTATAGCACTTTATTGGCAAAGTATAGAACCTTATTAGCAAAGTATAGCACCTTATGCTCTCTGAAAATTCTGCACCTTAGGTTGTCTAAAATTAGTTTTTTTCACTGCAACACAAACACTCAATGACCTACGTTATGTGTTTATTGACCAATCATCCACCGCGACGGGGGTCCTCGCGTAATTTTGAAGCTTTTGGTAAAGTATAGCACTTTATGGTAAAGTATAGCACCTTATGGCCAAAGTATAGTACTATATAGCAAAGTATAGCACTTTATTGACAAAGTATAGCACCTTATTGGCAAAGTATAGCACCTTATGCTCTCTGGAAATTCTGCACCTTAAGTTGTCTAAAACCAAATTAGTTTTTTTATCACAACGCAAACACTCGATGACCTACGTTACGTGTTTATTGACCAATCATCCACCGCGACGGGGGTCCTCGCGTAATTTTGAAGCTTTTGGCAAAGTATAGCACTTTATGGTAAAGTATAGCAAATTATGGCCAAAGTATAGTACTATATAGCAAAGTATAGCACTTTATTGTCAAAGTATAGCACCTTATTGGCAAAGTATAGCACCTTATGCTCTCTGAAAATTCTGCACCTTAAGTTGTCAAAGTATAGCACCTTATGCTCTCTGAAAATTCTGCACCTTAAGTTGTCTAAAACCAAATCAGTTTTTTTACCGCAACGCAAACACTCGATGACTGAAAATTCTGCACCTTAAGTTGTCTAAAACCAAATCAGTTTTTTTACCGCAACGCAAACACTCGATGACCTACGTTACGTGTTTATTGACCAATCATCCACCGCGGCGGGGGTCCTCGCGCAATTTTGAAGCTTTTGACAAAATATAGCACTTTATGGGAAAGTATAGTACCTTATGGCTAAAGTATAGCACTATATTACAAAGTATGGCACTTTATTGGTAAAGTATAGCACCTTATTGGCAAAGTATATCACCTTATGCTCTCTGGAAATTCTGCACCTTAAGTTGTCTAAAACCAAATTAGTTTTTTTCAACGCAACGCAAACACTCGATGATCTACGTTATGTGTTTATTGACCAATCATCCACCGCGACGGGGGGTCCTCGCGCAATTTTGAAGCTTTTGGCAAAGTAAAGCATTTTATGGGAAAGTATATCACCTTATGGCCAAAGTATAGCACTATATGGCAAAGTATAGCACTTTATTGGTAAAGTATAGCATCTTATTGGCAAAGTATAGCACCTTATGATCTCTGGAAATTCTGCACCTTAAGTTGTCTAAAACCAAATCAGTTTTTTTCACCGCAACGCAAACACTCGATGACCTACGTTACGCGTTTATTGACCAATCATCCACCGTGACGGGGGTCCTTGCGTAATTTTGAAGCTTTTGGCAAAGTATAGCACTTTATGGGAAAGTATAGCACCTTATGGCCAAAGTATAGCACTTTATGGGAAATTATAGCACCTTATAGCCAAAGTATAGCACTATATGACAAAGTATAGCACTTTATTGGCAGATTATAGCACCGTATTAGCAAAGTATAGCACCTTATGCTCTCTGAAAATTCTGTACCTTAAGTTATCTAAAACCAAATCAGTTTTTTTCACCGTAACGCAAACACTCGATGACCTACGTTACGTGTTTATTGACCAATCATCCTGTAAGGACCATGAATTTTTGATACTAGTTAAAATAATTCTCTGGTATTTTAAAATATATAATTACTATTTTTAAAAGAGTATTTATATTTTTATTTGAATTTCTACAATTTTTTATGATTTAAAAATCTAAGTTTTATATTTATTTAAATGATATTAATATTTATAAATTTATTTTATACAGTAAATATTTTCGGAATTTATCCGTTGTGTTACCGATACTATTACGTATTATTTTGAATAATATGTGGTATTATTATTATTATTACGTATATTTTTATATAATACGTTGTATTATTAATTACATATTATTTGGTATAATTTGTTGTATTATTTCTACTGTTATGTATTACCTGTCGTATTAGTACAACTGGTACGTTTTATTATATAGATAATTATTCCATAATTATTTGATTTTAAATATAAGTAAATATATTATTATTATTATTATTTATTCTCGTTTAATTGTACAATATGTGAATATTTCGACTATTTCATATCAACTGTTGTAAAAGCACAACATGTACGTTTTTAATTGTAGATAATTATTATGTAATTAGTTTAATTTTTAAGTATTCAAAAGTATTTATTTTAATTATTTTAACCTAAACCCTAACCCTAATTACAATTATATATATATATGTATATGTTTTCTTTTCTTTTTTTTGTAAATGAAAGATTTTATTCATCACCAAATGTAAAAATGAATGTACATCAAGAATCTCATCATATGTATGAGATATCAAAACTGACATTAAGAGTTCAAAGAAAATAGAACTCAATCAAAAACTTAGCAACTAACAGCAACTGAGTAAAACCTGCTAATTGCTCTCTTCAATGACTATCATAGTGAAATGATCCATTCTTCGTCTTCTGCCTTAAAAGAGCCATTGAGAACAAAAGAATAAATGCTGAATTTGATATCTTTAAAAAGCTGATCAGCTGGCCTTGCTTTCTGCCTGAAAATCCTGAAATTCCTTTCTCTCCATATACTATAAACTGCTGTAGTTAGAGCCATCCTTTTAATCCTTTGCTTGAAACCATTCCCCTTCAGTCTATCACAGTACCAAATCACAATCTGATTCCAATCACCGGACTGCCATTTGAAACTGAGCCAATCCATAATTTTTAGCCACACTTCTCTTGAATAGCAGCACTCAAAGAAAAGATGGTTTCTGTTTTCAGAACCAGTACACAGACAACAATTGTTAGAGTTCATTAATCCCCTCTTAATCAGTCTGTCGATAGTAAGCAATCTATCTTGGATTGCTAACCAACAGATAAAAGAGTGACTGGGGAAGTTTGTAGTCTCCCAAACTGTTCTATGCCATGGCACAACTAAAGAATTAGGGGAGAGAGCATTGTACAATGCTGAAATCTGGATTCTAGAATTTTCAGAGCAAGATTGAATGAGCAGCAACAAGTTATTTAGACCTCCACAAAAGCTAACAGCTTTGTCTCTGATTTTCAAAATTTTCTTCCACATCCATGAGTCCCAGTTTTTAGCCTGAACATGCCATATATCATCATTTCTTAAGTATGCACTGTGTATCCATTTGATCCATAGACTCTCTTTATTAACATGGATATGCCACATTAACCTCAGCATAGTTGCCATATTCCAAATTGTTGCTGAGTAGATGCCAAGACCCCCATGCCTTTTACTCAAACAGGCTTTATCCTAAGAAACCAGAGGAATTTTATGTTTTTTATCTGTTTTGCCCCATAGAAAGTTCCTGCACATTTGATCAATCTTCTGCAATACTCTAACAGGAAGAATATAATTTGAAGTCCAATATATCTGGATGCCAAGTATAGCACTCTTAATAATTTGTAATCTGCCAGCAAAAGACAGAGCTCTATTTTTCAGACAAGCTTGTAATTGATCTGAGATTTTGTTTAAAAGAGGAGAACAATCAGTATATGATAATCGTTTGGATATCAAAGGAACCCCCAAGTATTTGATGGGCAGTGCACCCTCTGTGAAGTTCAGGAGATTACTAATCAAGCTTTTGGTATGTTCATCAACACCACTGTAAAATATTTTACATTTTTCTGGATTTGCAACCAGACCTGAAACCTCACTAAACTCCTTGAAGCAGTTGAAAAAAAGATTAACAGAATGAATGTCACCCTTAGAAAAGAGGAGGAGATCATCTGCAAATATTAGATGAGTGATTTTTAACTCACCACACCTAGGATGAAATTTAAAAGATCTGTCCTCTTTAAGCATGTCTAATTTTCTTGACAGGAACTCCATACCCAGTGTAAACAAATAGGGAGAGATAGGATCACCTTGTCTCAAACCCCTTTCTCCTTTGAAATAACCATGTAGTGTGCCATTTAAAGAAATAGAGTATTTTGGGGATGTAATACACACCATGATCCAGTTTGTAAAGATATCAGGGAACCCCAGACCAGTAAGCATATCTCTAAGAAAATTCCAACTTATAGTATCGAAAGCCTTCTTGATATCTATACTCATCATGATCCTGGGTGAATTGTGCTTCCTGCCATAGCTCCTCACAATCTCATGAGCCATCAAGATATTACTTGATATTTGCCTTCCTTTAACAAAGGCACTTTGAGCCTCATTAATCAAAAATCCCATCACTGTCTTTATCCTGTTAGCTAGAATTTTCGAAATGATCTTATATAGACAGTTACAACAAGCAATAGGTCTGAAATCAGAAGGAGTCTTTGGACATTTCACTTTAGGAATTAGAGATATGGAAGTTGAGTTTATCATACCAAGCAGTTTCCTAAAGGATTATTTTTTTAATGTGTGATTCTCATTTTAATTATGTGATATGTCATGATATCGTTACGCATGATTGGTTGTACTTATTGTTTCCTGTTGTGTTTGAGAACCCCTAGCAGTTCATGACTTAGTGGCCTCGTGCGTCATGAACAGACTTAGTGACATGTGTGGGTGTGTTGACTGAGTTTAGGTGGTGAACCCGAGTTTTAATGAGGATTATGGTTGATTTAGAAAAACGAGAAGAGTTGGGATGGGGAAGTTAATGTTCATGTGATCGGATAAGGCTGTTGATGTATCTTCCAGGCCTCCCCATGATCCAGTGTAGCTTGGGGTTGGTTTGTTGGGTCAAAGTGGAGCCGGTGTAGCCACTTTGGTCCGTGAGCTTGATATTCACCTGATTCTTGCTTGAGTTCGAACCAGGCCGGAATCGGATTGCGTGTAGCCCTCTGACCGATCCAGTGTAGCGGCGTATTGGGTGCACGTAGAGGATTTATGAACAGCCAGTTATCTGATGACAGGAGCGTTGACTCTGTGTGAGATGTGGACCAGTGACCCGTTATAGAATGACTAGTTACCTGATCTTGTTATTTAAGGTGATTAGGATTCTTGTGCGAGATGTAGGCCAGTCGTAATTCTTTCATACATAGATCGGGATTAATATTTAATTATTTACAATTCGAGACATATGGTATATACATGAGGGTTTCCTTGTTTGGATTATTTCGCTCGACGTTGTAGATTTTTAGGTATTAATTCCATCTATTGTATGATCTTGTTGCTTGGATGATTAGACTGATCGCTAGCTGCATGATCTCGTTACCTGATCGATTTTGGATGCTTTATGTTATCATGATTTAGTAGTGTTTTCATGTTGATTTGTGGATTTCAGTTGTACGTTCTTTCGTTGTTTCTGTTATCGTATCGTTTTTCGCATTAGATTTCCGTTCGTTCTATTTTCTTTTGTGGGGTCTTGCCGTGCGTCATGCACCTGACGTACACCTGTTTTCTCTGGTGTACGTCAGACTTAAAGATCATCAGGAGCCAGAGGATTCTCAGCAGGAGTGCCTAGCGGATGGAGCAGAAGAAGAATCTAAAGCTTAGTTATTGGTCCTCAGTTTTCTTTTGTACTACCTTCTATTTCTATTTGATCAGTGTATTTTGTATCTCTTCAGTATTCATTTGTTCAGATTTGTATAAGGGCATGTTTGACCCGTATTTTTATGTCTTGGATGATATCCCATTGTGGTATGATATTTTTATTCTGAGTTTGTCTATTATATTCTTGCTGATTGTGATCGGGGACCTGTGCCTTCATATTGTTTTATTTTCAGACGCTTAGCGTATTAGATTGAGTAGAAAGAGTTTTATTATTTATTTCTACCCAACCTAATACGTCGCGGGCTTGTTCACGTTCCGATTCCCGGGTATATTGGGAAGCGGGGCGTGACAGGTTTTAGTGGTGGCCCATGCAGGTCACGGTTCCGATCACGGTCCCGAATTTCTACTAGTAAGAATATATTGGACAATTTAGATACATATCATATTTCATCCATGAGACTATTCTTGAGCCCTTATTCTATTTTCTTGATAGGTTTCGTTTCGTCCCTATCTTATCACTCTTTGACTCCGGAGTTTTCCATCGTTCTTGTCTCATCGCTTCGTGATTATCCTCTCTTTGTATAACTCCTCTATCCTCGTGTCTGTCATTATTTTATATGTTATTATTTTACAACTATATTTTCTTTGATTTTGACTTATGTATCGTTTAAGTGAATTGATTTTTGTATTATTTATTGTATTATTATTTTATGTATCAAATGCAGTATTATATTGTATGTTTTCATTTGTTTATAAATCTATTTTATCTTCCATAGTTCATGTTTTATGTATTATACATTTTATTTATGTATATTACACTGATTGTATTTATATGATTTTTGACTATTATACAATATACTACTATGTCTAAATTGATTTTATATAGTGATTATTATTGTTGTTGTATCTTGTTTATATTATGAATAATTCTAATACTTCTAATTTATCATATTGTTTGTCGAATATATAATTATGTTCTTCTTATTATATTTTATATAATATATTTATTTTGAATCACATGTTTACTCTTATGTCTATTTTATTATATAATATTTTGTGAACTCTTTCCATTATAATTTATTTTGTTAGCATGATTAGTACCCTGAGTATACAAATTTTTATATGCTTATTGTTATGTATGCATTTTTATTTTTATTTTTACGCTTATTATACATAATGATTATATTTGTTATACACATCATATGTTTCTGAATCTTGTTTATCCCTTTTGATTTATATCTTTTATTTTTATACTTTAATTTTATTTGTGTTTCTTTGAACCTAAATATGATTTGGTATTATTTACTTTGTGTTATATAACTATTTGTATGCTAGTAATTATTATGTATCGTTTCATTCTGCTATTGATTATTATTATGATTTGTCTCTGTTTGTTTGTCTATATGTATCGATGTGACTCTATCTATGTTTATTTCTTTATATTATTTTCAATTGTGATTATGTATGTTCTGTATACCCTATTATAATCTTTATTGTACTTCTGCCTGATTTATTCAGTATTTTTGTCTTATATCTGATGCTTTTCTAATAATATTGCATTATTCTCGTGTTTTAGTATATTTCAAACATTTTTCATTGTCTACTATTTTATATTATGTTATAAGTGTATTATCTAGCTTGTTTTATTACGTATAAAGTAGTTTTGTTTAGTACATTTCATTTCATTCTTTACTTCTAATTACGTGTATCATCATTGTTTGATTTAATTTATCAATCATTTCATCCTTCTTAGTTTTGTTTGTGTTTTGCTTACTTATTTTCTATATATAGTTTCTTATTCATTCTAATACTTACTTTTTATTTTGTTCTTTGTTCATGTTAGTCTGCTTCATTTATTTAGTCATAATATTATATAAAGTGTGTGTTTTCGATAATTATTGCTGTGATATACGACTATAATTAGTTATTTTATTTTTAATATGATATACTACATATAATTCATTTCTTATATGTTGTTGTGTCATGTCACATTGTCCTTCCATGATTATCTGCTTCATATTGTTTTGTATATCATATCTTTTTGGTTTATGTTCAATTATCTTTTAATATTCCACTTGCATTGTGCTGCTTATTTTTACATAATTATATTGTTTGTCGCATTCTAATTTCTGTGTATACAATTTGTAATTTCCCAATATTGTGTAATGAATTATTTATCTACTAAATTTTGTATACTACTCTACATGATTATTTGATTGTATAATTATTTTAATAATTGTGTTTAACTATTTATATTTGACTGTCTTTGTATCTTTCTATGTTTCAGGCTACTTTTCATCATTCCATCAATTAAATATATTTTCTTTTTATTTGTGTTTATTTTGTATGTATTATTATTCTAATTGCCTTATGATTGCTTTTCCTATTATCCTTGATTTCAACTTATTATTATATCATTCTATTTTGTTATATGATCCTGTTGATGTTCGTTTTTCGCTCGTTTACTCGTTTTTATTAAATTTATATCTTACATTGTGTTTTTAATATCTTAGTTTGAACCTATATTGATTGTGTTTTTCATAATTAAATTTCTTTTGCTTTTGATTGACCATTGTTATACCTTGCTATTATGTTTTGTTTAAACTGTTATGTATTTTAGATTTTCGACTTTTCTCATTATGTTGTTATGGTTCTATCTGATTCTATGTTATTTGACTTACTTTTGTATTTGCTTTAGATTTATTGTTATTACTTGACTTTGTTCTTACTTAATATGTTTCTGTTTTATTTCTATGAAAGCTTGTATATTATTTGCATGATTCACTCTATGATTGTTTATTTATATTATACTTATTGTTTTGATTCTATGTTATTGCTTATCTTATACTTTATACTGATTAGATTTCTTATATATTTACAAATACTGTATAACAAGTTCACACAGTTAAATATGTTTGTATCATAGTATTTGCTTGGATTTTGTTACGAGTCTGAGATGCGATAGCGATATCTTAGTTGTCACAACTTGTATCTCATCTTGTGCTGTTCTTGTCTTACATTCCCCTTTGCTTATGGATATGCAATTTATTTTGAATTCTTCTCTATATGCGTTGGGTGAGCCTCTCTTTCCATATCTTTGTCCTTGGGTTTAATTTCGAGGGCGAAATTTATTTTAAGGGGGGTAGAATGTAAGGACCATGAATTTTCGATACTAGTTAAAATAATTCTCTGGTATTTTAAAATATTTAATTATTATTTTTAAAAGAGTATTTATATTTTTATTGAATTTCTACAATTTTCTATGATTTAAAAATCTAAGTTTTATATTTATTTAAATGATATTAATATTTATAAATTTTTTTATACACGTAATATTTCACGGAATTTATACCTTGTGTATACCGATACTATCTACGTATTTATTTGATAATATGTGGTATTTATTATAACTTATATTTTCATTAATCGTTTATTATAAGTATCACATTGTGTATATTCTATTGTATTATTTTCACTGTTACGTTTACCTTCTATTATCACAATGGTACGTTTTTTATATTAGAATTATTCCATAATTATTTGATTATAAATAACATTATTATTATTATTATTTATCTCGTTTAATTTGACAATATTAATATTTTGCATATTATATTCAACTTTGTTAGCCAAACATGTACGTTTTTATTTAAATTGATTATTAATTAGTTTAATTTTAGTACTCAAAGTATTTATTTAATAATATTTTATCCTAAACCCTATACCCTAATTACAATTATAATATATATATA